GTACTACACTTTTAACTATTTCTTTGTCATTAATCTATTAAACTTTTAATTATTCCCCAACTAATCATCATATTCATACATTCGGCGATCATGGTACCTATCGTACCTGATCCCGATCATGCCCTGCCACTATGATGTTCTGACACGACCCCGATCGATCACATGATCACATGAGTCGTTCGATTCATATCTTCATTTCACCCTTTTATTCTTCAACTCATTAAACATTTCGTTATCTATTTGCATACCTTTTACTAGGTATAAGGGCTCTTTGAAAACTATGCAACATAAGCTGGACCCCCATTGGTCCTCGTCCTTGAGGGCCATATCACTTTCATTCAAATCTTCTTTAGCTCAGTTCGGAGTTCCTTCATTCCAAGAAAACAACCTTTTCACCCTATTACTTGTTATTGGATCTTTCAACAACAGCCTTTTTAAAGTTTCAAATAAATCCTTTCATTCGTTTCCCAAAACAAACTTACAATCCTTTCTCATTAAATCTGTCAACAGCTTGGCAACTTCACTAATGTTCTTTATAAAACGACGATAATACCCAACGGTACCATGGAATGACCTTATTTTGCTCTGGTTTTTCAGTTCCGGCCAATCCTGTATCCTTTTTATGCCCTTCTTATCAACCTTTATTATATGTTGATGTGTTGGTTTCATATATCCAACGGCACGGATTCGATCAGTTCTGCCTTCCTTCTTATCCACCAGAAAACAATGATACGCATTCGGCCCTTTTCCTTCCTCCAGCAACCTATACTTCATCATTTGCTTCAAATGTTCTTCAAATAATCGAGCCCTTTTTGGATTGTCAATCCTTATAGGTCTCAATTTCATAGGCAGTATTTCAGAATCCTCAGTCCTTACTTCGTATTTCACCAAATCGGTATGTTCCAATTCAGATAAACTAAAGGCGAATGTTTTTGATACTTCATTTATTAACTGCCCTTTTACGTGTTGTTTTTCTTCAGGTAATAGTTCAGACCCAAAGTTAAGTAAATCAACATTCCCCATTGTTAGTTTTCATAATACTACTGGGTTCAATAACTCTGATTGTTCTTTAGTTTTAATCAGATTTTGACAAAATTTTTCCACATTGTCCAGAAATTCTAATTCATGCTCCTCCTTAGAGGTTTGTTCATCTTTTTTTAAAGATCGCCCTTCACATAATTTATTCTGATCGGTTTGACCTTTCATCATTCTATCGCCTCCTTTTAAGGTTTGTATATCATTTTCGATTGTTTTAAATCTCCTTACGGCTATCACCTGATTAATTTCATCTTCGTCTTCCTCACCATTTTCATCCGATTCATCATCACTTTCCCTTTCATTCCCTCTTTCGTTTTTATAGATCTTCTCTTTATCAATATCTATTCTAAGCATTACATGCACACAATCGCTTTTGTCGTTTTCATCACCTTTATCCATACTTTCTTCAATTTGCCCCACCATCCTTCCTAAACATTCATCAGACCTTTGATTAAATCCACTTTTCATTAACAATCTTCTACCTTCGACATTTATCATATTCCATTCAAAGGCTTTCGCATTTTCTGGTTCAGTTTTTAATGATTTACTTAAATCGG